AGTTGCAGCGAGCGGGGGCTACTCTTCGTTGCAGCGCACGGGCTTCTCATTGCAGTGGCTTCTCTTGCTGTGGAGCACGGGCTCTAGGCGTGCGGGCTTCAGTAGTTGTGGCACGTGGGCTCAGTAGTTGTGGCTCGCGGGCTCTAGAGCGCAGGCTCAGTAGTTGTGGCGCACGGGCTTAGTTGCTCCATGGCATGTGGGGTCTTCCCGGACCAGGGCTCGATCCCGTGTCCCCTGCATTGGCAGGTGGATTCTTAACCACTGCGCCACCAGGGAAGTCCCCTAATTTTCTTTGAAAGCCCAGTGGTTGAGGGGGAAAAAAGGAAGAGGGAATCACTGCAAGCAGCAGATGGTTGTACTTCCTTCCACCCATGTTCACAACTGGCGAGGGAGGAAAGCACTGCAATTCTACCCCACTTCACAGAGGATGAAACTGAGGCACGGTGAGACTAGGGGCTGCTCAGTGGAGATGGGGGCGGGAGCTGGAGAAGTCTCTCTGTGGGAACCAGTATAATTGCTGCTCTCTAGGAGCGCCTGCTGGGTTTCTCTCCATGACTCGTGTCACTGTCTGATGTCCTCTGTCTTGTACAGTTTCACTTGATTTTTGTCTCCACCCCACCTCCACCCCCTGCCCCACACCAGACACTAAATAAAGGCTGTAGGCAAGGGTGTTTTTTTTTGCTTTCTTCACTCTTTGGGGCCTAGAACAGTACCTAGACATGTAGGTACTTACTTACAGGGACTGAGGAAGGGCCAGTCCTGAGTGAGACTGGCCCTGAGAGGAAGAATGTTCCACCTGGCAAGGGGCCCGCTCCCCCTGGGACAGAGCGGCGAGAAGACAGACACGGCCCCAGAACTCAAGGAGCCAGACAGACAATAAGCAAAGATGCAAACCAGTAAGAGATGTGAAGCACAGTAAGAAAATAAACAGGATGACAAGGTGGCAAACAAGGTCCGGGAGGAGGACGCCGTGCTCCAGACCCACAGGGCAAGAAGGAGAGAACCGCAGGACAGCTGGGAAACAGCGCTCAGGAGCTGCACCTGCGAAGGCCCCCAGGCGCCACAAGAGGCTGTGTGCCAGCGCAACAGAGAGCAGGCTCCTGCTGGCCAGAGTCTGGTGAACTGGCGAAGGGCAAGGAGGGGAACGGGAGAGGCGAGGGGCTGCGGGTCCTTGTAAACACGCTGCCTTTGATTTGCGGTGAGATGACAGCTGTTGGAAGTTTCTTTTTTCTTAACAGCTTTATGCAGGTGTGATTGACATACAGCAAGCTTCATGTTCCAGTGCACCATCTGATCAGTTCTGACAATTGCCTACACCTGAGAAACTATGACGCTGACTAAGATGGTAACCCTATCCATCCTCTTCCTGAAAGGCTTCCTCCTGCCCCCTTGCCATCCCCCCACGCTGTCCCCACCTCTGTCCCCAGGCAGCCACTGATCTGGGACGTGCTGGCTCGATTCTAGCGTTAGCGCCACCATGTTCATCGTTGTTCTCTAGTTTTCCTCTGACAATCATGCCGTTGTATTCCCCAGGGCTGCTGCAAGGAACGTTAGGTGTATGACAGGTGCTGGAAAGTGGAGGAATCCCGGGGAGACTCTCAGCTGACCTTATAAATGGTTCCTGCTGGATGGGAATACAGTCCTCCTCTATAAACCCTCGGAGAAGACAGAAAAACATACGGAAGCATCCACACCAATGTCCCACGTATATTAATCCTTGAACTCTGCTGTTCCTCAGGAAACGGGATCCTGTTCAGCTTCGCAGTCCTGGTCTGCGGTGGATGTCGTCACACCAGCCCATGGTGACTTCATTCCCTCCAGTTTTCTTCGCTCCATCCTTCCTCCACACCCCTGGTGCCCTGGCCCATCCTCTCCCGGGGAGGACCCCACACCCCACACCTTTGCTGGCAGCAGCCCCTGCATGTGGTGGCCTCGACATGCGGAGCTTTATTGCAGTCGTATGGGTACCCACTCATTTACTATTATCTAAGCAAGTCGTTTTCAAAGAATTTTAAGAGCCTAATCGTTTCTTTCAATTGAATCTATATGGAGTTCCGACTCCTAAGATATGAGCGGACGTGTTCTTTGCAGCTGGGAAGGTGCCCTAGAGAGGGGAAGTGTCCTGCCACATGGAGAGGGGCAGAGTTGACGGTCATCTCCATTCCACACTCACTGCCCCCCTTCTCAAGCTGTCGTTTTCCCCCAGTGGTGGTGGGATCTATGATGACTCGGCTCCGGCATCCTCCGTGCAAATTGTGTCCCTGCCCCGGAGGCTGGGGTCTTGGGCTGCTTTGCTTGTCTCCAGTCCTCGGCCTCTTCCCCTGAAGCATCTGCCTCACAAGTGTGCCGGGACGTGTGACCTAGTGGATGAAGAGCTCAGGGCTGCCTGGCCCCCAGAACAGGCCCAGCTGTGGGGCTGCCGGGGACCCCAGCCTCAGATTTCCAGATTTTGTAACTGAGGAATAATTGCTTAGTATAAACATGTCCCCAAGTGGAATGTTCTTTGTTCTTCATCTGAAATTCCAATGTAACTGGGCATCCTGTATTTGCTCTGGCAGCCCTGTCCCTGGGGGTGAGGCCATCTCCTGGCCCCTGAGCAGCCCTGCATGCCAGGCTGAGGGCGCAGGGCCAGGGCCGGGAGTGTGCCCAGGTCTGGATGCCCCTGGCCCTTCACCCAGGCTGAAAGGGACAGGCGGACCTGAAGGCAAAACAACCAATGAGGTAGGTGGCCCCAAAGGCCGTCCAATAGTGGCGTCAATACTGGATGGCACTGGGCCCATCAGAGCCCTCCTGGGGGGTTCAGGTGAGACTGAGTAACCCCTGAGCTGGCTTCTCCTGCCCCCTCCTGTCCAGGCATCCCTGCAAATAATCTCGCCTCACCAATAATAACAGGCATGTAAGAGCTAACACTTAGGACTTTTGTTATGGGCCACATGCTGTTCCAGCCACTTTCCATGTGTGT